ACGGATGTTGAAAATTGTATTGATACATACCACATTCAAAGCGTAGAAACCACAATTCAGCTCAGCCAACATCAAAATTTTGCCAAATCCTTTAAGTACTTGCTATTCGCAAAGTAGCGAAGATTTACGTTATTTTATACCGAGTATTGTAGCTTACGCTAGACCCAACTTTTATTATATCGATCTAAGCGTGTCTGTTCAGTCTGCCTGTCCTTCTGATGTTTGTCCATGTACAGGTCACAATGATAAAATTTGGTACACTGACATGTTTTCGCGCAGGGACATACGCTATTAAAAACTCTTTGACTCGGCCTACTTTTACGACACCTACTCATTTAACGACTTATTTTGAAAAAATTTTAATTTTTGTATAAAAGATTTGGATCGGCCGGGGCATTTTTTTGGATCGTGTAGGGCATCTAATTGTCGACTCGCCTTGCTAGACTTCTTGTTTTTTTTCTTTTCATCTATTAAACACCTACAACCGACCTTTTTGCATACAAAACTTTAAATAACAATAATCATAAATAGTAGTCAGCGTGCTTGATAAGCAAAAAGAAACGGCAGCGGGTTAAGTGAAAAAAATTGATGTGAATTAATTTTAACAAATAGGCAAAGAAACATTAGAAAGACACATTATCCAAATTTATAAGCAATAAATATATATTTAATAAATTTATTTATTTACAAAACAAATCAATATTTTATCCTTGTGTAACGAAGTGATATTTCTGACTGTGTTTCAATAATTGGTGCCCTAGTTATCAATTCTCAATTCACCCCGTTTAGCTTGTCGAGGACAAGTTGTTCTTATTTACGACAAGTGAAGTGATCTTGGCTAGAACTCTACTTGTCCTTTACGATTCTCACACAGAATCATCACACAGAAGTAAACGACAAAAAATTTATCTTTCACCTTTTAATATATTAAAAGATATTCTTAAGAAAATTTAATGTGCCACCGTGACATCCGCCATAATTACTTTTGAATTAACACAATTAACTTTTCGGATTCTACTGTCCAAACTCTTTTATATATCAACGGTATGGGAAAAGTAAACCTAACTAAATTAGAGTTATCGCTGACCTTGTTGCCTACTACCCTCCGAGTCCTCTTATTTGATACCCATATCGCATAAAACTTCAAAAAAATGAAGTAACGAAAACTTAATTAGCTGTAACTTTTTATCTCTTATTATATTTGCAGAAACCCGAGTCTTCAAATGAAAACGAAACAGAATATATCCAATTGTGAAGAATTGGATATCGTTAATCTGCACGAGTTTATCAACGCATATATATCATTGCTTGGAGAGCTCAAATTAATAATAGATAATGATTCAGATAATGACATTTAATTAAATGTAAAATAAAACCAATAAAAATAAAATTTCAATTTTGTTAATATTCGATGAGAATATAAAAAATGTTGGAAGAATAAAACCCACTCCAGTTTCTTTATTACAAAAACACAAGGAATTCCAAATTTCTGTAGTATGAATAAAACCTACTCCAGTTTCTTTATTATAAAAACACAAGGAATTCCAAATTTCTGTAGTATGAATAAAATCTACTCCAGTTTCTTTATTACAAAAACACAAGGAATTCCAAATTTCTGTAGTATGAATAAAACCTAATCCAGTTTCTTTATTACAAAAACACAAGGAATTCCCTAATATTTGGAATTAGCGACAACGTTTTGGGGAGAAGACTTCCGAGACCCTTTTGTAAATTCCAGTCTCTTTGAGATCTTCAAATTTTAACTTGATAGCCTAAATGGAAGAAGAAGATGGCCTTTACAGAAAACAAAGTGTTTACTATTATTGAATACAATAGTATAATGACAAATCACAAAATTCGGTACACTTTGCCGGCCTCTAACGGAAGTGTCCTATGCATAATAAATGTAAGTAATGATATTTATAATAATTTTATGATATTTATTTTGTCATTATTTTTAGGTAAACCAAAAACAACCACCATATCAATAGCGGCTGACGTCAATACGCGAATACGCCAACTTCGCCGCAAATTTTCTTATAAGATTCATTTATTTTTTTTAATGCGATGTTATTTATCGTATTCCAAAAATTCAACACTTTCTTCTTTACTGTAATTTCTACCTATTTGTGAAATATTTATAAATGATTTTCTTAACTCTATAAAGGTACTCTTTAGGAATACCCGATTTACTCAAATATACTTACTTAGTAATACTTCCCCTGAAATTTTTAAAAAAGCATTTTGTTTCCCCCTTTGTTAATCCCTTATTCCGGAGAGGAGCTCTTATCGGCACAAGTGCCAGAAGTGTTCTGTCTTGTTTCTTACAATGAGATATCGAGCTATCTGGAGTCGTGAACACGGTTTCTTTAGACCAGAAAACTATAGCTCTTAGTGGCAAATGCCTTGTTATCAAGAGAACCAAAAGAACACCATCTACAATTATAACTTCACCACTTACTTATGTAGTAAATGATATACCTACAATTTGTCAATTTTTTGAATGTTGGAAACTAGTAGTGACATCTTTGATGAAATTATTCTGAGAATTAATCTTATAATTTTAGGAATTGCTGAAAGCATATCATTGGAACGACTGCTATTATGAAGAGAACGTGAATTTCTTTAGGAAGACATTCGTTAAAATCGTAATGTTATGATTTCATGTTATACCGCAAAGGAAAATTAAATCTAGTACTTAACTTGTTAAGAATTAAGAAGAAAATAAAAATAATTCTATGCATTAAAGATTATGGAAAAAATAATATGGAAAATTCGATGTACTCTGCTTAGGTTACAATTAATTATGCTTTAGAAACAATGAGAAAATGAGAAAATGTTGGTGCTATTTCGCTTACCAATATGTGACATTATGCAGATGCTTGCTTAATCGACAATAAATCAATTAATCTTGTTTGATTGCTGCTTTCGAAAGATTTTATCGGCTTCATGTAGCGGGAATAGAGAAGCCTTGATGCTTGAAATTATATTTCATTTAATTTCCTTGTTGAGATGAGAAAGTTATACATCAAGAGATATATCATACGTTGACGAAAACGTACCGGTGAAAAATTGGTTTTGAAAATAATTGCTGAAGGCATCCGGATAATATGGAAACTGTAAAAAGGTTTTGATATAAATCGAACAATGAAGTTATTAACAAGTTTGGAATATTTACTTAAACGTATGCTGTGCATAAACAAAATAGATGTTCATTTTTCAGGGA